GGAGCGCGAAACATGCTGGTGGAAACGCGGCGTGTCGCTGGTGAGCGGGATGATTGGCGGTATCGTGTGATAGGATTGGTATATATCAGTTTGATGCGAACCTCTTGAGCGTTGTGCTTGCCAATGGCTCTTGGACAACTCGATTTTAACTATTTCCTTACTCGGAACTGCTTGACAATCACCTTTCTCGCTCTCGGGCCAACCGTCGTCTAGTTTTGGATAAAATGAGTCAGCTTGGCAATCTGAAACGGATCAAGATGCTTCATCAATCCAATCTAATGCAATGTGCCTGAGGTCCTGGTGCCGCCTCCTTCAACAGAAAAAGATAAGGTCTGCTGCGATTGCTTGAAGCAATACTAAGACTTGTCACCGCTGTACCCCAAATCTGCAAGGCAGCTCCAGGTGTAGAGCCGAGCGGCAGGACTGCAGCAAAACCAGAAGGCTGTAGCATAGACTCTTCTCTGTCGAGCCAGGCATGCCCAAAGTGATGCACAAGAGGTGACTCCACTTTCCAAAGAAAGAGGCCAGAAAATATGGCATGAAGGGCCGGGTCAAGTAAACTAGTTGCCAAAGGTGTCGTCTCTCCTGTAGAGCCAACACTTCCTGGAAGCATTGAAGAAGCAGCTGATGAACTTCCGTCTCTCGGCAAGTGAAGTAGTTTGTTTTTGAAAGAATATCAGATTCGTTTTGTGTGTTTCTTGGCTTGTTTGTTTTTTGAAGCTGCATTCATGCCCTCAGATCCAGTTATCGCTCCAGGCGCTGGACTCAGTTGCTCTGTTTTGACCCTTCCCATTGCTCATTACACTACAGACTACACTCCCTGGAAGATTTATGGAAGTGGAAACGGCCAACAAAGAGCTTCCATGGTGGTTTGCCACTTCCGTGGTTGCTTTAGGGAGTGTAACTTTCTTTTGGCCTAGGCCAGATGAGGCTGTCTACGGATGCCTATTCTGTTTGCCTCTTTTTGAATCAGCATTTCTTTTAGCTTCTGGCAGGCTCCTGCACCAAGAGACAAAAGGCTTGTGTCTCAGCCAAGCAACCCAGCCCAGACGGCCAGAAATTTTTTCTTGTCCCAGGAGTAAAGCGGTTATGGATACGCTCAGCCTTTCTGC